TATGAGAAAACTCAAGGTGACAACCTATTGGATTTCTAATAGGCCTTAAACAATTTTTAAGAAAATTAAGAGATCCCAAATGACAAGATCTCCTGCAGGAATAAACAGCTGATGGTCTGATTCACAGCAAGGTCCTTCCTACACCTGTGGGCTGGTTTTTTGAAAATCCTGATTTCAACACTTAAATATCTTAGATTGCCTAGCATCACACTGTTCTACCAAATGCTGGTACATAAAATCAAATGCAACATCAGAAAATTTGTTTTGATAAATTACTTTTAAAAACAAATGATAGAAAGCTGTTATTTTAAATTACAATAATTTTCTCAAAAATACAATTGTTTGGGATATTTTTTGCCAGAGAATTACTGCAGACAGTTTCACTAGACTTACATATCGTGGCCAGAATGCAGTTCATGACAAATTTTTATAAAGTTTGTTTAGAAAATACCCTTTGCTTTGGAAGTTTTAATAGAGATTTGACAGACAGAAGACCTTTTTTTGACTTGGTTGCAGTCTTTCCACTTGATTCACAACACCATGAATGAATGAAAGTAAGCATTCCTTAAGAAATACTGATTTGGCCAATGAGATTACTGTAAACAATTGGCTTTCCTGTTTGAAATGTGACTGCACTTGTAATTGTTTAGCTAAGCTGTCACACATTTAAATTTAGTGCAAATGCATTTAAATTGCATGACAGCTGCAGTTAGGCCTATGATGGCATGCATGAAATAGAGAGAGCAGCATAGGCATGTGACAGGAAAAACAATACATTAGATGAACTCCTACAGAGCAAAAAATTTTCCATTTCTCCCATTCTTAAGCATTATCCTACTTCATAAACTATATCCCCAATGCCATGCTATCACTTCTCTCTCACTCTCTGCTTTTTTAGCCAACCATGTAAAGCAACCTGTCACTGCATCAGTTATTCCACTGCATGAGACATTGGTTGAAATGCCAGAATTTTAAAAACATTTGGATTTTAAAGCTGTGAGACAAGTAAGAATCAATGTTATATAAAAGTCTACCAAGAATCTAAACTAGCCTGCCTGGGTGTGATCTCCCTGTACACAAAACATAACTAAAAATCTGCTAGTTAAAGGTGACAACAATTTGATCATATTCAGAACAATTTCTAAAAGTATGCCTTGTAACCAAGTAACAATAATTATAATGATTAGCCTAAACCAACACTGTGGAGGGTTTTGTTCTTGCTTGTTAAGGGCTTTTAGCTTTATTTATTGAAGTTAAGAGTCACAGATTTTATAAGTTATTGATCAACTACTGTAGGTGAGTGCACCACACAGCAGCTTCTGGCCATCACATTGAGAGAACCAGATACCTTGCTCCTGTATTAAGGAGTAGGGATGCTCCACAGAAACAAGATACTTCTTGCCCAAATTCATGCTCTAGATTCTCATAGATAAACCTTTTTATTCTTGCTTTGTACAGAGGAGAAGAATGTTACCCCACACTGGAAGCAGATGTGAAAACAAGCTGCCACATCCACAGAGTAAGCCACTGGAGAATGTGTTGTTAAAACAGAGAAAGGACATTCTTCCTTATCCTGCTTGCCAGAATTTGAGTCAATGCTGTACAACAATCTCCTCTCCTCCTGTATATTTAAAGCAAATAAAAAAACCTCTAAAAATCCTCAAACTAGAGTATAGACAGACTGTAACACTTGGCACTGGGGGGGGTGAAAGATTTCACACAACCATAAGATCATTCAAATCTGACAACTTTTACTCCCAAAAATGGTGACAACAAAAGCCAGAATAGACTGTGGATTGAAATCTGCTCTGGTCTTTCTCCAAAGTTACAGTCTTCACTAAATGTGTGATCCAAGTGATTTAGCTACACCATTACAAACAAAAGTGGCATGGATTTACAAGGCTTATGTATTTTCAACCAAATATAAAATTTGTTTACATTTGTTTACAGCAACTGTGTAAAGGATTTATGTTTCAACGTATCCTAAAGTGGAAAAACAGAAAACAGTTGAATCTGGAAGACTTTACCATGCATCTTGATTGTAATAAACCCTTTAAAGTTTAAGGTTTTTGAAAGTAGATGTTCTTTTTGTTTCAAAAATTAAAGAGCAGGGAAAAGCAGGTATGCTGCATTATCCAAAGTTTGACCTAATTACCTGGGTTTGCAGTACTTTTTACTCAAGGATGCAAAAATGGCAGCATCAGTGTCAGGAAAAAAATCTATTCCTACAAAAACCACACACAGTTGCCCAATACACACACACACACCCACACACACAAAATCAAAACAAAAACACCATAATCTATTCAGATAAAGCATACATTATCAGCGTATGGAGAAAGCTCAAGGAATTTGGATTTTTAATCTACTAGAATTCATCACTATATTTACAACGAACTAATTTCACGTTTGTAGAACTTCTTTTTCTTTTCAGCCATGTTGTGACTGGCCTTCTGAAAGCTAATCTAAACTGTCTTTGGTCATTTGAATTGGATTTATATGCCAGTAACTTTGAAAATAAAACAGCTGATGTTGTGTGAATCCTTGATTTGTTTATAGTTTTGTTTGTTTGCTTTGGGATTTTCTGTAAATATAAAATATGCCTACCAGACACCTTCAAAAAGTTATTCTTCATTTAGATTACAGAACAAGTTTTATGTGTGAAATTCAGGAATGCTTTTTATTTTATCATCTAATAATTTATTTTTATCATCTAATAATACCATTACTAGATGATATAAAATCTGATTTTTCCAAACTGACAAGATGTTGCCTAAATTCTCTCTTTTAATTTCAGGTGATGGGTCTACATTTTTAAAGTGTTACACATTAGAGCATAACAATTTGGAGAAACAGATCACTAGCCACTTTTATCATTACAGGCTGAAAAATGTACATAAAGACAAAAAAATCTTCACAGAATCCCATAGTGTCCAAATATAACTTTTCTAATCTATTGATTTTAAACATTGCTTGGATTTGTTTTTATGAAAGAAAAGGCTTGACAGGGAATGGATTAACTTCCAGGCTATCAGCTTACATAAAGACACAACTACAGCTGAATCATCTTTTGTTTTTCCTTGGAGGTCAGAGGGCTATGGAAATATTTAGGAAAAAAAAAAAGGCAGTCCAAATTACCATAATTCAGATATTTTTATCCTCCCAAACCAAACTCTTTTTTCCACCAGTGATTTGAAATAAATGCAGATTAATCCAGCCAAACCTCTCAAGTGCTCTATGTACCAACAGATCCTTGGTTTGTGGGCAGCTTGATGCTTCTCAGCTCTGATGGATTATTATTTCCTACTAAAGGCAGCAAGAAGACTGCACCACTTATTGCATTTTGGGGGTTAGTGGGGCATGAGGAAAAGAAGACAGTAACACACAGTGAATTCCAACCTTCATTATGTATGAGAGAGATTTTCTACTCATTTTAACTCAACCAAGGACTAAAAACATTAAGCTTCAGAAGAACTTCGTAACTTTAGCTTAAATTCATATGGATTTTAACTTTAGAAAAAAACAAATAAGTAAAATTTGAACAGGAAAAAATCTCCTTTATATGTGGTATTCACTATTTCATAATTAGGCTGTCTTTAGTAATTTAATAAGAAGAATTCAGTAGAATGAGACTTCCTGCCTGGCAGCCAACCCTAGCTTGTCCCAAAAACCCTAAGTTCAACCAGGTACTTGGGAATCAGATCAATACTTCCCAGTTGCCTCTCACACACATTGAGAAAGCCATTTTCACATTAGCCCTGTGGCAAGGTTTCCTCCTGAGCATATGCACATCTACAGGTGTTTTTTCCATATGGCAGGTACATTTTACAGCAAGAATAGCAGTGGATCATGATCTATTCATAAACATGTTCTGAAACAAGCCCGTACATTTTATAAACAAACCTGAAGTGACTTTCTATAGTGGAAGTCACTTCAGGTTATTTCTGGTTATTAAAAGAAAAGTCAGAATAATAAGGCAGGTGATCTATTAAACAGCAGTCATTGTAAAATAATCTGCCACTTGCCAGAAATCAAATTATTCTTGATTTATACATTTATTAAATAAGGTCTGTAGAAATTGGAAATAATGGGTCATTCAAGTAAAAGTATAGCAGCAAAAAAAATGTAGATCATGATTAATAGAAAATACAATATTTAAGGTTACAAATATATATATTTGGGGCATTCAGAACTTCTTGGATTTACTGCAAGTGATGTTCTTCTCACATAATCCTTTCTTTTTAATGAATAAATACCATGACTCTTGAAAACAGTATCTAAATCTAGATACTTACAAAGAAACTTTTTTTAAATTTAATTAGTAAATACAGTTGTAAACATAACAAGACACAGTTACTCATGCTTCTTAAATATGATCCAAACATTAAATAATTATTTTACTTGAAATTTTGCTTAAAACAATAGTTCTATGTAGTAAAAGACTGAGGTGTAAGTAATTGTGCTAGGTTATAAATAAGTAAAATAAAATTTTAAAAATATCAGTGATTTTAAAGCTATGCCAAGGCTACAAAGAGTTTTTTCAACCTGCTACAAAACATATAAGATGCTTTAAAGAAAGACAATATTTTGAAATAAGGAGACGCAAAGACCTGAATTCTCTATGCATTTTTTGCTTTAAAACGGAAAGAAGAAATATCTTTTTCACTCATTTTACTACAGTGCTGATATTTTGCAAATGGGTTTGTCTTTATCATCTTTTCTCAATGAAGCGTATATTAAAATAACTAAGCAGACCATATAATTAAATAAACAAATAGCAAATGCCTATGTACAGACTGGAAATGAACATATTTTCAACCATTATTCAAGTACCCTTTCTTTTTCCATTATTTCTACTGGTGTTCATAAATTTTCTCAGACCTACCATCTTACTTTATATGCCTCTATATATATATATATATATATATATCAGAAAGTCAGCATGAGCAATAATGCAATACAAGGACTTTTTTTTCACTAATCAAAGATCAAGTATTTACCTTCCACAAGCATGTCTGGCACATCTGCTTGATATCTAGGACCCACTCTGATTTCTCCCTTGTCTGCTAGAAGTGTTTTCAATGATGGATCATACACCAATGAATAAAAAAAAGTATCCTAAAAAAAAGAGACATATTTGCAACAGCATAATAATAATTTTTAAAATTAGGTTTGCAAACTTGTAACATGTTCCATTTGGAAATTTGCATACTTTACAGAACACAGATTTGGTACATAAATATTTATTTTACATAATACAGATGTTTCATGAGTGCATTTAAAGGGCTAATTAAGACCTCTCTCATTGTTAGAACTTACTTCAGAACAGAGTAATAATTAAAAATTTGCACACACAAATATATCAATGGATTTGAAGAGAATTAATGTTAACTGCTTACTGAATTTAACAAGTTTGCACTCATAAGCATCTCAACCATACTGACTTTTCATTATAAATTAATCTCAAAAAAAAAAAAAAAAAAATTACCACTGTCTGTGTAAAAACTTCTCGGGCACTAAAACAGTATTGGCAAATGTGGTAGATTCACATAAGTATAGGCCAAGTCCTGTTTTCAAAAAGCTTTTTACTGATTATCAGTGGTTTGGTGTAGAAATTTAAAAATAAAGACATGCTAATTTCAGTTAGAAAACACGGCCTTCCTGATGTTATATTAAGACATTCCAAAGAAAAATATGTTTATTTTAAAGGCATTTTACAATCTTTCAAATTCTTGGGAAATTCTCTTCTTCTCTGGTAAAGTTAAGCATCCAAAGTATCTTCCAGAGGAAGATTAGAAGATACTTTCCACACAATAAATGAAGAAAGAGGAAAAAATAAGGAGGGAAAAAAAGCATAATGAGAATTCTCCCTTCACTATCTGCTACAGGAAACATCTCTATATTTTCATCTGTAAGATGCCATATTAATTACTTAAAATTAATTCCTTTCTAAATACAGATTCATAATAAACCTATCATTTAAGCGTGTCAATTAAATTTTTATCTAATAATATTGCTCAAATCAGTGTTGTGAACAACGTAAGTTTTCTAACCTATCATCCAATATATGATTTTCAGAGTATTGTTTACCCATTTGTTAAAATTACAGAAAGAAAAATAAACCTATCCCAATATTTACTTGAATAAAAGTCACAATTACCTCTTTCTCCAGATATGACAGCACAGATTCTGTCTCATTCAGAAGTGCAACGCTGCATTTTCCCCTACACAAACATAGGCAAGAATAGTTACTTTGCAAAAAATTCAAAATTCAAGAGTTACTTGCAAGAGAACAATCTAGATATACTTTAAACTTCTACACTAAAAGTATAAAAACATTAAAATATATAAAAATAAACATTGCTATACTTTATTAATACCAAACTTAACATAAAAGCAACAAAACAAATGGCTGTACAGATCCGAGCATTCAAATCCATTGGAGTTCCATCAAACTGGGAAATAATTTCAGTAATGGAAAGACAAAACAAGAGAAGAGGTACAACGGCAAACAATAAATATGCACACAATTAATAAAAAGGCCTGGATTAAAGAAACATCACCTCCAAGTGACTTATCTCCAGCAAATTCAGTGTATAATTTGAAAACAACCTAAACTGGAAAGAATATAAAGCTTTACTTTTAAGGCTGCAAAAACAAAGCACTTTTCTCTTTTGAATGGAAGTATTTTTAATAATAAATAATGGATCTATTCATTTCTTCTATGCCCACATTAAAATGCTAATGACCACATTTCCATGGAGGTTCTTGTTGCCCAGTAGTGGTACAGACCTGCCCATGTGAAACATAAGTAGTCAATGCAATGGGACTTGGATCCCACCACCCTCCTCCCCTTCTCATCCCATCTCCCCCAGCATTGCCTTGCCTAAATGTCTCCATCTCCTCTGCAAATAACCTGTAGAATTATTTTTAACAAATGGTATTTTAAAGAAACACTCATGGATGTGGATTAAAAATGTTAAGTGTGCTGAATCACCTTGCTAGCAACTTAGGTTTTTATGTTATAATTTACAACTTAACTACCATTTTCTATATTTATGTTTGTATATATATATGAAGATATATTTATTACCCCTTACATACAGCACCTTGTATTTCATGCACCAAAGTTGTACTCAGTTTAGCTGGCATTTGCCAGGAGGTTCCTGTGGCCTTATACATCCAACTCCAGGAAATATGCCCTGAACACCCATCTCTATCTTCCCTCATGGCATAGACCAGAACACAAATAGAGAAAGAACACATTTGCAGAGACCTTCTTGATTTTAAGATAAATGGGTGTTGTAAAAATATCCATTTTGTCAGGCCGTGCTGACTCTAAGCTTAACCAGAGGCATTAGAAGCCAGTTGCTAATGGCTGATCATTAAGTGAACATACCCAGCTGATGTGCTATTCATTGCCACTGCACATCCTGGGAAAGGGGGGTAAGCCACATATTACTATCCTGTTTCTCTTCACTGTCATACCTGTCAGGAGAGCCACACTACCAAAGAAAAACAGGAAGAGGGGGAAGGAAAATCTGACCCCAATACACAACCGCAGCAGAAAATCCTCCTTCAGCAGAGAAGTAGGAAGCCTTCTAGATACCCCATCATGCCTTTCTTTGAAGGTTTTCTTTAAGCTTTTGACCTTGATAATTCCAGAGCATTCACTTCTAAAAATTAATTGTGTTGTAGCATGAAGTCAGTTTTCCAACTTTATTTTTGTTTTACTGTTTTTTGGGATTTTTAGTGTAAAAGGCTAACCAGGAGTTTATCTTTCCAGTCTGGTTCTATTCCTATAACTCAAGTGTGCCCACTCTCTCCACTACAGCCTACCCTTATTTAACTTCAATTACCACAGAGGAATTCATTGCTCCACTGCCATCATGATTGCAAAAGTATTTTATAGATCAACCTCATCTTTTATTGCTGGTCCGCTAAAAAATTCATTTTATTTCATTAAGATACAAGATTAGTCCCTGCAGCATGTCTTCTAAGTGAGTGAGTTTCTATTTGATGCTAGATATCTTTGTACAGCACTTTAACCATCTAATGGCTGGAGTCACACAGAGGTAACATTTTGTATGTATATATGACCTCTTGTCATCGTGTCTTAATGGAGACAGCACTAGACCTAAAGTAGACATTAAGATAAAAATAAAAAAAACAACAAAACTCAAAAAACAAAACTTTGAAAACAGGTAAATTACAGAAGTCTTTCTACTTTTGATTCTCTATACTACAGTTTTTGTAATCTAGAAACCTACAATACTTAATAAAAGTGATTTAGAACCTTTAACTCCTTTCTTTCTTTCTTTCCCATCAGAGGAAAAGCTTCTCTGTATAGTTGCAAATGTTCTGCTGGACTGAGCCAGGCATCTAGTTCACTGTAGCATGAACACTGAGCACCCCTCAATCATGGATGCAAAGGTAATAACTTGAGTGAATATCAATTTGCAGTAACATGCCTCTTAATATTCTCCAACAGCCACTGTACTTTTCACCCGTTCTTCAATACTAATAATCAAAAGCCCTAGAGAAAAAGTGAATGTAATTTAAATCACATTACAATGTGACTTAGAAGTTTGTTTTTTAAGGGATGTATCTGAGAACCCATAGCTTCTCTGGATTTAAAAATAATATTTTCCTCCTTACAGTGTTCTGGAGCTTTATTCCTTAATGCTTTAAAATTATTTAAGATAATTGGGAAAGATAGAGCTATATCAAATAAATTATCAATACAACAGCATAAAGTCTAATTGCTCCAAAGAGAAAAAAGAAAGGGGAAGCTAGCTACCTACAAAAAAAAATAAGAGTATGCTGCATTTAGCAGATTATAAAATCAGTTACACATGAAAATAAAATTATACTCTCTTCTTTCAGAAATCCTATTGTCTTTACATTTAGAGTATTATTTAGATTAGTGGCATACAATGCCACAGGTTCATTGTTCCATTGGAGTCTCCTGCCTGAAATGCATCATTAAACTGAACTCAGGAAAAATTACAAATAATTGCCCAGTTTTAAAAAAATTACATTAATAAATAAAAAATAAAAATAAATAAATAGTTGTCTATTTTTCCACATATGAAACCTTCTTCCTCTTATGTAACTGATTCTCTGATTTAAGCTGTATTCCTCCAACAAGCAGCATTCTTGACTTAACTGGCATCATCAAGGTGAATTATTAGTTAATAGCATCAGAAAGTCTCAATGTTAAGATGACACATCTGATTTTGACCTTTTTCTCAAATTAAAAATATTCAGAAACTTCCTTTTTTTTCTTCCTACATAATTAGGCAAAATTTATCTTGTAGTAATGTTGAGGGAAAGTTTAAGCAACCTCAACAATGCAGAAATAACAGTAACCAAAAAAGTAAGTCAGCTTTTATGTCTTCATTACAACCTAATTTTGATGAGATTAAGTTGTGCTTTCAGAATCCTTTCTGCTCCTAGATGTACTTCATATTTAAACCGGTCACAAATAAAGAGTTGTTCCATTGAGCTGACAACAGTGTCAACAAAACTTATTATATAATTAAATCAGACAGCAACAAAAAGTAATTTAGAGGTCTTGCAGTAAAAGGAGACAACAAAACTCGCCTATAAATATTTGCTCATGGTATTGCCAGCTTCTATCATATAAACCTCTTAGGATTCAATTTCTTCTCCTGTCATAGTAATCAGAGCCACAACTCATAACATTTTTCTTTAAAGCATTAACATGTGAAAGCTCTTTTCACATGCTACACCTTCCTTCACTCTCATTTGTTAGAAGCTTTTGTCTGCTTGTATATTTATTTTGTATGTTCCAGGTGACTTCACCAGTGAGTTGACAATTCCTGATCATTTACACCCAATCAGCTAAGGGATGCCTGACAAGCCATTTTTCCACGCCTACAGCCTACTTCCATACCTCAGGCAAGCCCTTCTGTTACAATACAAAAATGAGACTCGCACTCTTTCCAGAAAAAAAACCCAAAACTTTAGTTCTAAATTGCCTTAATGGTTTTGTAGGAAAGGATTTCTTCAACAGCCCTAGCAGAAACCTAGGACCATAAAGTCCCAAAAACAAAACTCTAACCATCTACAGCCAAAACCTCAAAGCACAGAGACAATAATGAGGATTAAAAGAAAATGGTAAGAAACACTAGTTATCAAGGTAGATAGATGCCTCACTGCAGGGAACATAAGGATTTGCTCCCCATCCCATCCTAGTTATCAAGGTAGATAGATGCCTCACTGCAGGGAACATAAGGATTTGCTCCCCATCCCATCCCCCCCACCCTTGTTTTACAGAACTATTTTTCCTGGGATGGGTGGGAGGCTGTTTACTGTGGAGTAAAGAAAAAGAGAATTAAATTCTAAAAAATAGGTGACAGCTTTGTGAGACTCATAGGTCAGACTATCTTGGACAACTCCATAGGAAGCTCATGAAAATCAACACTCAACATGAGATGTCAGTTACCACCCAGTCCTGAAGGACAGATTTCACAGAGAGCAAGCTGAGCTAAAACCTAAAAGATCTTGGAAACTAAGATAAAAATGTGCCATGTTTCAGTGAGACCCAACAGAGGAATGAAAAACGTGGGAACTTACTTCAGACAAGAATGTGACAACAATCAGTATCTAGATGAGGCAAGGACAAGACTGCCCTTACTAATCTGTTACAATGAAGGCAAAAGATGATGATAACCACCAGCTCAAGAGTTTAAGTAGCATGAAAAAAATTGTACCAAGGTTATTATACCAGACAATGTTATCAAAATATTTCAATAATCTGGTTAAACAACCTAGACTAAAACACCAAATTGCCCAGAAGACAGCATGAAATGCCTTCTTGTTTGCACTCTCTAGGCAATTGCACTTTAACGAGCTTTTTCTTAAAGTAATCAAAACTATAGATTAAAATCATTATGAAAATTTTAAAAAGCTGATGCAAACACTTATATCTTAAAGCTGTCAAAATTAATCAAAATCAACACAGCTGCCTCATATTTTACAGTGCCTGCTCATTTCAGCCCTAACTTTTGTACCACTGGAAGTCTATGATTCTGGTTCTGCTGTTCTTGCAGGCTATTTCTTCACATTCTCACCAGATGAGTAAGACAGCCCATGAGATACAATTTTTTTTAAATAAGGATTTCTTGGAAAAGGAGGTATGAAGAAAAAAAAATACAGAAAGAAATTACAAGAAATAAAATGTCTGCTGCCTTTTAAC